GGTGGTGGTGGTGGTGGTGGTGGTGGTGGTATGTGTGCCACATCATGGTCTAGCAGGAGAAAGTGCTTGCCCCGCAAGCCTGACAACCCACATTCAATCCTGGACCTCACAGTGGGAAAGCAAACTCACCCCTGAAAGTTGTCTTCTGACCTCAACACGTGCTCTGTAGCACATGAGGATCTACGTTCCCTCCTCACACACAGTGACACAATAATATTTTCAAGATCTCTTTTTATTTGTGTGTACGGGTGTGTGTCCATGTAGAGGTATGGGGTCCAGAGGTACAGGAGGTTGTGAGATGCCTGATGTGGGTGCTGGGGACCAAACCGGGGTCCATTGCAAGCGCATTTCATGCTGTTCATCGCTAAGCCATTCCTCCAGGCCCAGCAATAACATTTCTTTAGATAAGGGAAACCAATTATAGCTAAGAGAAGTGCACCTTACACAAGCAGAAATAAAAGCAGGAACTGTTTATTTCATTGCTTAAATCATTCCATGAATGACTGCTGGGTTGTCTTCAGTGATTCCAAAGGTCCCACTGACATGTAATGGGGCGGGAGCCACACTCCCCTGTGACACAAGAACCATTCAGTATAGCTGATAACATGCAAACATAATCTTCAGAAACAGAGCAACGTCATGACAGGATACAAGAAGCTGATTGATAAATAGATCTCACATCTTTTTTGTTTTTTAAGCGGGGGAAGGGTACTGTTATGATTCTACTGTGCCCAACCGGAAATCTCGACCATACCCACAGGCCTGCTCCATTCACAGGAAGGAGCAAAGGTCCAGAAGTTAAGCTACTCATTCTAGATCTGCGTTTGCTGGACTAAGGTTCTGCATTTGCTATTTCAAATGGTTTTTGAAAAATGGATATCATACACCTATTTGTTCACAACTTTCATATAAAAGAGTAATGATCATTTCAATTACTATTAGTTTTTTTTCTGGAGTAATAATTTTTTTCTTTGAATAGTCACCCATTGCACTGAAAACCACAGATTCAGAATTCACAATTAAATCACAATTTAAAAAAATTGAAATTTCATGCCAAATCAAAGTAGCCACGGGTTAGTGTGAAACACATTTACATTTCAGAGTAGTTTAAAATTATTTACCAAAATGTCTCTTTTCTCTGTTAAATCACGTTTACTCTCAAGATGCACTTCTTTTGGTTTGTTTGATTTTGCTTGTTTGGGGTTTTTTTTTGGGGGGGAGATTGTTTGTTTGTTTTGTTTTGAGAGAGTCTCTCTGTGTAGCCCTGGCTGTCCTGGAACTCACTTTGTAGACCAGGCTGGTCTAGAACTCACAGAGATCTGCTTGCCTTTACCTCCCAAGTGGTAGGATGAAAGGCGTGGGTGACCATGCCCAATCACACACTTGTTTCTCAGTATTTGATGTTCACAGTACAACTGGAATTGGTTACATTCATTAGGGTCACAACGGTGTTCCATGCTCAAGATTTCAGAATCTGTGCTGCCTATGATGAGGTAGATAAACTTTAGTGTTGTTGGCTAGGACCAATTTCCTTTAGACTCAACTTTTTAAAAGATAGATTTCCAAAATAGTCAGCAAAAGACTGAAAATGTCTTTGCACTTTGCCTAAAAGTGGAAAAAATAGAATTTCAAAAGGTATTATCAAAGTTTTCCGTACCTCATTTTAATTTAAAATCAGAATAAAAGCATCCAATTACAAAGCCACTACAGATCTTAAAGTCACCATCTTTGAACATCTAGAGAGCCTGGCTCGACTTCTGAATTGGGAGATCTGTCCACACGAAGGCCTCTGGTTAACACCTCCAGGGGCCAGACCAGCTGCTGCCCCTTAGCATGTGACCCCAAACGTCAAGTCTCCTCCAAGTTCAGGCCTAACTGCTTGGTTTCTTCATAGGAGCCTCTCCCAGGAGACAAGAATCCAATTCCTGTACACACATCAAAGTTCAGACAGAATGGGGAGGCCCATCTGGGTACGACAGGCTGCAATGGGTGAAGTTGGAAGTGAGACCCAGGCTGCAGGTGTCTGGCCTGCCTTGGACAGGCTTAGATGGTATGGCACAGGCCCTGGTTGGTCAACCAAGGCATTGGTAGCTTAAAGGCCATTCAGGTTGGAGGGGGCAGACTGGGCATTAATCCAGCTAAAGGCCCCGGGGTGGGTCGACGAGAGATTTCGTGGAAGGAGGGCAGGCCACCACGGATCTTGGTCTTCTTTCGGGGAGCCATGGGCGAGGCACCCAAGAATTTGCTGAAGGAGCTCGACTTCTTCAAGCCACGGGCCAGGTCCTGGAGCATCAGGTCGTCGGCCAGGACGCCCAGAAACGCGCTAGTGGTGGAGCTGAGGATGGTGGCGGCCACCTGCACGGGGTGCCTCGACACAAGGCTCCCACTGCCACCACTGGCCGCATCAGGCTCCGTCGTGGTTCGCAGGCCAGGGTCACCAAGTAAACGCCGCAGCGCGTAGGAGGAGCCAGGCTTCAGGTACTGGTAGGCACGACGGCCGCTGTAGTCGCGGACATGCACTTGGGCGCCCAGACGTACCACTAAAAGCACGGCTGCATCCTCGTGGCCGTGCAGGGCCGCCAAGTGCAGCGGCGTGTAGCCACCGTGTGAGCGCGCGTTCACGTCCACAGGAGCGCCTCCACGCCGGGCGACCTCCACCAGCTGCAGAGCCATCTCCCGGTCGCCGCTCTTGGCTGCCCAGTGTAGAGCGGTGAAACCCGACATGAAGTCACGCTTGGCAGCCAGGCCGCTGTCCCGCAAGAGCAGCCCGTGCAGCTGGTGGCTCCAATGGCCGCTGGCCGTGCGCACCAGCCACTCGTGCTCTGTGGGCTCCAGGGGCACCGCGGGCGGCGGCGGCGGCGCGGCAGGCACCTCCTCCATATCGGGGCTCAGCAGGCGCGGGCCGGCGCGCGACAGGCGCCTGAGATGAGGGGAGCGGCCGGGTCCCAGGTGCAGGCCCAGACCCGACTCCTCTACCGAGAGCCGCCGCAGGAGCATCGGAGAGGCCCGCGGACTCGGTTCCTCCGACCGCTGCCGGCGCAGGCCTTGCTCCTCCGCGCGGATCCGCAGCGCCGCGGGGCCGGGGACCACGCAGCGCACCGGCAGCATGCAGGGCTTCTGCGGTGGCACTTGCGCCCTGGGAGGTGCAGGCTCCGGGTCTGGCGACTCTGTGCTTGGCGAGGCTGCCCCCGACGGCACACTGGCCGGTGCGGCTACCTCGGAGGCTCCCTCCGAGGGCCAGGATAGCTCCTGATCCTCGGGTTCCCCGGGCTGTGGCGCTGAGTCTGATGGAGCCCCAAGCTGGGTGACCCCTGAGGGTGGGGACCTCGAGGCATGCTGTAGCTCCGATGATGAGGACAAGTCCTCCAGCGGTTCCTCGGACGGCTGTGGGGAAAGGGGAGCTCCGGGGACGCAGTTGTCCTCCGCTGGGACGGCAGTGCACTCGGCCTGTGTGGCTGGCACCCCAGGGCTGGAGGGGTGCGGGGGCTCTGGTCCCTCCCGCGGCCGCGGCTTCTTTCTCAGCACCACGAACTTGACCCCGTCCAGCTCCTTCACCACCGCCACGTTGTTGACGAACTTCTTAAAGCGGTCCCTGCGGGCTGCGCGGCAGCGCGGGTCCCCTGCGTCCAGCAGCGGCTTGAAGCGGCTCAGCAGTTCCGAGTTGCGCACCTGCCCGCCGTGCTCCAGCAGGAAACCCAGCACCGCCGCCTGGCTCACCCCTGCGGCTGCTGCGGCGGCAGCGGCTGCGGCTGCCAGCGCCATGCTCGATCCCTGCGCCTCCCGGATCGCCCCAGCCGCCTCGCCAGGCTCACCTGGGGCTCGGATCCCCGAAGCTGGACTGCAGTCACGCCCTCCCCGCCGCACTCCGGGCGAAGGGCGCTTGGGGCTCCTGCCCTCCTCCTGCGCCTGGCCGGGCCCCCAGCTTGGGGGGTAGGTTGCTGCCGAGAGGTCCTATCCAATGGGTGCTGGGCTCCATGCCCCTGAGCGGTGCTCGGCTTACAGGTGACAGCTGCCACTGGAGGTGCGGAGGGAATGGGGGAGCGGAACCTCTCTGAGCTGCCCCCACCCCAGCCGCGGAATTAAAGGCGCAGCGCTGCTCTTCAGCTCCACTCCTGGTTGCTAAGTGGGTGTGTTCCCTGGGGATGTTGCTGTACATGGGCGAGGCGTGGTTATTTATTCCTTTCAGCAGTATTTACCACAAAATAAAAGCAACGTTTTACATATGTATCTCCTTGCAATATATATATATAATGTTGCATCAATAATGCTTCAATTTCTGATGCGTTTCATACAGGAAAATGGAGTCATGAAATTCACAGAGAACAATTCGCTGTGTGTGACGTTGAATGCATGGTACTCGGGGATCACAAAAGGTTTAGAGCAGTTTTCTCATGATAAAATAATACTGTTTTAAAGGTGGAGCTTTGCAAGTTGCATTTTTTATTATTCTTTGAGTAGTGTGTGTGTCTGTGTGTGTGTGTGTGTGTGTGTGTGTGTGTGTGTGTGTGTGTGTGTCTTGTAGGTCAGAAGCCAATCAGTTCTGGCTTTCCATCATGGACTCTGGAGCTCGAATTCAGGTCATTGGGTGTGGCGGCAGGCACTTTTACTCACTGAACTATTTCAAACACACCCCTTTATTTTGTCTCTATGTGTACCCCAAGTTGGTATGGACCTTGCAAAGCCACTGCCTCAGTGTTCTGAGTGCTAGATTATAGGTGTGTACCAGCAGGGTTGCCAAAAATAGCCCATTTTAACGTAGGACTTCAGGGCTGGGGATTTAGCTCAGTGGTAGAGCGTAAGGCCCTGGGTTCGGTCTTCAGCTCAGGAAAAAACAAACAAACAAACAAAAAACATAGGACTAGGAATAAACCCCCAGGAAAACACAAAGAAGGAAAAAATACCACCAGAAATGGCCATTAACATTTTAAAGTATTTTCTTCCACTATGTATGCATATGTCTGTTATATTTTAAAGTAAAAAGGCAAAGTAGGAACTATACTGAAGCATTAAGTATGGAACCCAAGGCCTCCCAAATGCCTGACTACACCATCGCACCTCCAGCCCAAGCTGGTTTTTTTGTTTGTTTGTTTGTTTTTGTTTTTGTTTTTTTTTTTTTTTTTTTTGAGACAGGGTTTCTCTGTGTAGTTTTGCGCCTTTCCTGGGACTCACTTGGTAGCCCAGGCTGGCCTCGAACTCACAGAGATCCGCCTGGCTCTGCCTCCCGAGTGCTGGGATTAAGGGCTTGCGCCACCACCGCCCGGCCAGCCCAAGCTGTTTTTAAAACTTCAGTTATATCACAAATATTTATTGAGGACGTAACTTGTGCGGGACCTTTTCAGGCCTTGATATATGTTAGGAGAGATAAAAGCTTCGGCATAGCAGAGTTCGTTTATCAGGAGGAAACAGGAGTGAGAAAGCTGTGTAACATGCTGTGTGAGTTACAGCACACACTACACATACTATAGGAAACAGAGTGTGGGCAGACTCAACAGGGACAGGCTGGGAGTCTGAGCCAGGCAGTCAGGGCAGGATTCATGGAGAAGGTGAAACTGGGAGACAGCTTCAGGTTAGGGATTTATGCAGATGGGAAAGAGCTTTTACAGAGGAGGACGCCGGCAGGGTGGGGGCGGGGCTGCTTGTTTCCTGTTTGTTGTTTTCAACTTTAATTTATGTGTGCACACATGGCGGGCACAGGCATGCCACGGTGCAGAAATGGAGGTCAGAGACTTCATCCAGGACCTGTCTCCTTTCACCGTGTGGATTCTGAGAGGACACCTCCGCTCAGCCACCTTGGTGTTTTGTTTGTTTTCTGAGAAAGTCTCTCATATGACTCCTGCACAAGGTCTCAAACTCCTGCAGAGGCTGTCCTTAAACTCTGCCTTCACCTCCTAAACGCTGAGATTACAGGCTGTGACACCGTACCAGCCTCGTGTGTGTGTGTGTGTGTGTGTGTGTGTGTGTGTGTGTGTGTGTGTGTGTGTGTCCCAGATTATCCTGAAACTCACAGTCCTCCTGCATTATGCTTAGTGCTGGGATCACAGGTGTGTGCCATCAGGCTGAGGGTTTCTTGTTTTTTTTTTTTGTTTTTTTTTTTGTTTATTTTTTTTGTTCTTGTTTTTGAGACTAGGTCTCGATATGTAACCCTAACTGAAACTTACTATGTAGACCAGGCTAGCCCAAACTTATCCACCTGCATCTGCCAATACCTGAGTGCCGGGAATTAAAAAGTATGTGCCATTAGGCCTGGCCCACTATGCTGGGTGTTAGAGTAGTTTGAATAGTATTTTTTTTTTTTTTTTTTTTGAGACAGGCTTTCTCTGTGCCCTGGCAGTCCTGGAACTCAATTTGTAGTCCAGGATGGCCTTGAACAGAGATATCTGTCTGCTTCTGCTCCAGAGTGCTGGGATTAAAGGCATGTACCATCATCCCCGGCTAGTTTTGTTTTATTTATGTGCATTGGTGTTTGCCTGCACGTATGTCTGTGTGAAGGTGCCAGATCCCTGGAACTGGAGTTACAGACAGCTGTGAGCTGCCATGTGGATGCTGAGAATTGAACCCGGGTCCTCTGGAAGAGCAACCAGTGCTCTTAACTGCTGTTAAAGGGCCATCTCTCCAGCCCTTTGTTTTTGTTTGTTTGTTTGTGTTTTGTTTTTTAACTTGAAATTTTAATCTAATTTTATGTGTACGAGTGTTTTGCCTGCCTGTATCTGTGCACCACATGCATGCCTGCTGCTAACAGAGGCATCAGCTTCCCAGGAGCTCAAGTTATGGGAGGTTATGAGCTGTGTCATGTGCATGCTGGGAACTGAACTCAGAAGAGTAGCAAATGTTCCTAACCTCTGAGCTATCTCTCCAGCCCCATCATCTCCTTATGCTGTTATAAATATTTTCTCAGTTGTCATTTAATTTTATTTTCTGAAGACATTCATTTAGACAACTAGATTTCTTTGTAATTATTGCATCTTTTCCACTGAAAATGCAAAACAGGAAAGCATCTCTACCGTGTAAAAGAACTTTAAGAACCAATGTCTCCTGTATTGTCCAGCAGGAAGATTTTGTATACATTTGTTTTATTAGTTTTGTTTGTACACTTGTGTGAGCACAGGCACCTTCATGCCTCTGCACGTGTGTGGAGGTCAGAGGACAACTCTCAGAGCCAGTTTTCTCCTGCCCCCACGTGGGTCCCAGGGACTGAAGCTGGGTCTACAGCCTTGGTGGCAAAGCACTTTTATCCACTGGGCCATCTTGCTAGCTGGGCCTATGTGGTTTTTTTTTGTTGTTGTTTTGATTTTTTTAACCATGTAATGTTACTGGGGCAGGATAAAAAAGATGGGAAATTATGGGAACAAAGGAAGGGAAAGGACCCTGGAGTCTGGCTGAGGTCTCTCACCACTGAGAATCAATAATTTCAGCACAATTAATATCTGATATGAAGATTGTGGACAAGGAGCTAATATTGCTTTTATATAGAGATATTTTGCTTTACAATAATAATGAAAAACCAAGCATGGTGTCACACTCATGTTTAATCCCAGCCTTCGGGAAGCAGAGGCAGGCAGATCTCTGAGTTTGAGGTCAGCCTGCTCTACAGAGCAAGTTCTACAGCCAGGACTACACAGAGAAACCTGTCTCAAAAAAAAAAAAAAAAAGCCAAACAAAAACAAACAACTACAATAAATAATGAGCCAGGCTGCCTAAATGTATATGACTTAGCTAGGGCCTAGTTCTATAGTTGTTTTTTTTTTTTTTTCACTCTTTACTCTCTTGGAGGCCCACCATTCAGCTCCCAAATAATCACACAGAGACTTATTTTTTCTTATAAGTGCCCGGCCTTAGCTTGACTTATTTCTAGCCAGCTTTTCTTAATTTAAATTATCCCATCTGCCTTTGCCTCTGAGCCTTTTCTTTCTCTATTTCTGTATATCTTTTCTTTCCTTCTTATTCTGTGTCTGTCTGGGCACCTGAGTGGCTCCCCTCCCCCTCCCTCCCTCCTTTTCTGGCTCCTCCTTCTTCTTTCTTCCCCTCCAGTTTATTCTCTCTGCCTGGCAGCCCCAGGTGTTTCTCTCGCCTGCCTCTTTATTAGACCAATCAGGTGTTTCAGGCAGACAAAGTAACACAGATTCACAGAGTTAAACAAATACAACATAAAAGAATGTAACATGCCAGGCAGTGGTGTCACACGCCTTTAATCCCAGCACTCGGGAGGCAGAGCCAGGCAGATCTCTGTGAGTTCGAGGCCAGTCTGGTCTACAGAGTGAGATCCAGGACAGGCACCAAAACTCCACAGAGAAACCCTGTCTTGAAAAACAGAACAAAACAAAACAAAACAAAACAAAAAAAAACAAACAAAAAAAAAACAATGTAACACATCTTTAACTAATATCCTACAACATAGTTTCTCTCCAAGACATTTTCTGGGGCTCTCACCAGCCAGGTTTTGCTTACAGTGGAGACATCTGGTCTTGCTACATTCCCATGACCCTAAATTCTACTAGATGACCTGCAATCCTGTCGGGTACCCCTCAGGAACCACCTGCGACCTCATTTAGGTTTCTGACAAACTCTTTAAAGGCAATAACTTCAAAAGCCACTAGAATGGTTTATCTGACTGTTACAAAGACAATTAAATGCTATTTTTCTTTCTTTTTTTTTTTTTATTGATTCTTTGTGGATTTCACATCATGCATTCCAACCTCTCTGCCCTTGCAACCTCCCCCCGCCAAAAAAAAAAAAAAAAATTTAAAAGAAAAACCAAACAAAATGAGAGACGGGGGCGGGGGGAGAATCTTGTTGTGGAAACTGTAGTGTGGCCTGTTGACTCACACAGTTTACTCCTTAATCTGTTCATCTACTTGCAAGTGTTCATTGCCACGAGTCATTCATTGGTCTGTTCCTGGTCTGGTCCGAGGCCTCTGGCTTCTGCTACACCACCAATACACGGATAATGGGCTCTCACTGGGGCTCCTCTTGCCTATCCTGTTGTCCTGTGTCATGGAGATCCTGCTGTTTTGGATCTGTAGGTTCATCCCCTTCACCTGCTCCAACAGTTCACAGATGAGGTGGATGTTGGGGTGGGCCATCTCTTAGCTCTGGTTCTGGGCCTGGGTGGTAGCTGAGTTGGTCAGCCCGCCAGCTTTCCCTCATCCTCTCTACCCCGCTCTCCAGCACTGCCTCCTCCAGCTCACCCAGGGCAGCCTGCAGCAAGGAGC